TCCCAGGTGTTTAGAGACGGAGGTGGTTGTCCACGGCCCCCTGTGTTAGAGACAGGGGGTTGTCCATAGCCCCAGGTTAGAGATTGGGGGCTGTCCACAACCCCCGGTATTAGAGATGTAGAGGTGGGGGTCCATAGACCCACGTGTCAGAGATGTAGAAGGGGAGGGAGTCCACAGCCCCAGGTGTTAGAGACATAGAGGGGGCCGGGTCCATGGCCCCAGGTGTTAGAGACTGGGGGAGTGGGCTGTCGATGGCCCCCGGTGTAAGAGACTTAGATGTGGGGGTCCACAGCCCCAGGTGTTAGAGATGTAGAGGTGGGGGGGCAGGACTGGGCCACTTACACAGCATGCGTACCTCCCCTGGGCAGCCCTTACCCCTACCCCTCCACCACCAGATAACTCTGGGATCCCCCACCCGCGATTTCCCGGAATTTCCTCTGTCTCAGTCCTTGGGATCATCTAAGACTGTTCTCCAGACCTCAACTTCCACTTCTGTCCAATGGGGTAGTGAAAGTTGGGGAGCATTTACCTGGGAGAGCCCCCACTCCAGAGGAAGTTACGCAGCACTCCTATGTGACCTTGGGTTATCTCTGTCTCTCTCTGGGCCTCAGTTTCCCTGGCTGGACTGTGGGGCCTTTGGATGAGCTCTCAGATCCTAGACCCCTCTGGAGCTGGGAGGTCATTTATTCACTCAACAGATTCTGAGCCCCTGCTGTGAGCTGAAGCCTGGTACAGGGCGCCCACTGACATGGCACTGACCAAGGCCGAGTCGGTGTCCTCCCCCACTTGGCTCACAGATGGGACTTGGGAAACATAGGTGATCATCCAGAAATATCATTCTGCTTCACTGTAACTGCATGAACTCGATGGAGAGACAGAGGGATGTGGAAGTTAGTTTAAATGGGGGATCTGGGAGGGACCCCTGAGAAGGTGACATTTGAGCTGAGGCCTGAATGACAAGAAAAAAACAGCCATGTGGAGACCTGAGAGGAAGGGCATTCCAGTTAGAGGACACAGCCCATGCAAAGGCCCTGGGGCAGGCCTGGACCTGGAGTTTTGGAGGAACAGTGAGGAGACCCATGTGACAGGAACAGAGTGAGTGAGGGAAAGAGAGGGAGGGGATGGGGAGGAGGTCATGGTCCTGTGGACTATGGGAAGAATTTGGGCTTTTACTTCCAAAAGGGGAGCTGTGGAGGGCTGTGGGCAGAGGAAGTGGGTCCCGATTCCGGTGATCACCGGCGCCCTCTGGTGGCCTCTTTGGGGAGGACGGATGGGGAGGTGTGAGAGCTTGAGTTGGAAGGAGGGCCGGGGGTTCAGGGAACTAGGATTCAGGCAGTGGAGAGGGGAGAGGTGGGTGGAGCTGGGACTCTCCTAGGGGCTGCAGACACACTGGTGCCCCATTAGGGCCTCCTCCACTTGCTGTGAAACATCTTTTGCTGGGCCTCAGCCCGGGCCTGGCCTGGTCTTTTCTGTACGGGGTGGTCTGTGCTCTCCTGTCATTCCTGCTCGGTGCCCAAGCTCTGCTTCAGTGGAAGTCTGACCATAGCTGGCAGTGTCCCGGCTCCCCCTACCGCCCGGCAGGTGGCCAGACCCGGCTCATCCTTGGGGGGGCCCTGCCAGGGCTCTGGAGAACCCATTTGAGAACCACTGAGGCCCCCAAGCCCCCCAGACGAGCAGATTTCTCTCTTCCTTTTGCCATATCCAAATTGGGCATCAACTCTGAGTTCCGAGCGGTGATTGGTAACAGCCCGACACCGCGGGGGCCATGGTGTCGGCAGCGGGTCTCATGCGGGCACAAGGACAGCGGGGGCATTTGCTGCTGTGGATGGAGGCCCTCCTGGGCCACCGCAGCCAGGGCTTGGAGAGGTGAGATGGAGAGGCCGGCCCGGCCCTGCTGAGCTGGTCCATCAATTATTGATGCCCTTTGTGTGGGACATGAAGAATTCATGCAGCAGGGATGGGCTCCCTGTGGCCCCGGGGCCTGCTGTCACCGGCCCAGCCCGGCTCACAAGAGCCCCTTGCTGTCTCATCAGGTTTTTTTATGGCTGGGTTGTTAAACACAGCCATTATTAAAAATGACAGACTATGAACTTACATTGTATTTAAAATGAGGGTATAGAATATTATTTGGCAATAAAAAGGAGGGAAGCGTTGACACGCGCGGCCCCGCGGACAGACCCCGAGCCCACAACATGCAGGGAGGGAACCAGACAGAAGGCCACACAGGGAGTGAGTCCACGCGTGTGACACGTCCAGACCAGGCTCCTCCATGGATGGGAAGGGGGTTCGTGGTGGCTGGGGAGTGGACTGCTGATGGGGGCAGGGTTGCTTTTTGGGGTGGTGGAATGTTCTGGAGCTAGATAATGGCAATAGTTGCACAACTCTGTGTATATATATAAAAACCACTGAGTTGCACACTTTAAAAGGACGTGTTTTATGTTGTGTGAATCATAGGTTGATAAAAGTCACAAAAAAGCAAATGTCATAAATAGTCAAAAATCATAACTTCCTAATTATTCTACCGTACTTTACTACAATCTGTACTCTTGAGGTCATTTTCGTCTCTTGGATGTGGTTGGTGGAAATGATGAGCAGCTCTTCCCAGTTCCACCTTTGCTGACATCAAGTTGGAAGCTTGAAATTGGCCCCTCGGGGGGAGCACGTACACCGTGGAAATTGGCAACTACTACACATCGGGGTTTGCTTTATTGTACTGTTGATGGTCTAGACCAGGGGCTGGCATACTTTTTCTAGGAAGGCCCGAGAATAAATATTTTCAGCTCTGTAAGCCATACAGGCCCAAGGCTGCCGTTATGGTGCGGAAACAGCCCTAGATGGTATGGAAGGAATGGCTGCGGCCATGTGCCAATAAAACTTTATTTACAAAAACGAGCAGTGGGCCATAGTTTGCCAGCTCCTGGCAGAACTCGAGAAAGTGATGAAGAGAATGCCAGTGATGAGAATTAAACTCAACAGTGTGTCGGGTCCACAGTGGTTTCCTTGTGAAAAGCACAAGAGACTTGAGGAGACGCTCTCCGGCCCCGGGGTCACCTGCCATCTGGTTCGGCACGGACTGTTGCTCTCGTTGCTGATGAACGCAGTTCTCATTCCCCTTGTTTCACATTTGTCTGGATTGTTTCCATAAAGGAGAATGTCAGGTGACATCCCATGCCCAGAACTGCACATGTTTGTCAACCACATCTGAAAGCCCAACGATCGATCCCAGTTTGGTGAAACTTACGGAGAGCATTTTGCGAGAATCGATTTGGCCATGGGTCTCAACCCGGGGTTGCAG